ACTCTTTAGGTTTAAGAAGATTGAACAGTGGAAGCTGTTGTACCCCAAAATTTTCCCTCTCATTTATCAATATTTTTCTCACAAGATTTCTTTGACACAAGACTGGATTAGGGTTTGGTCAGCTCAAGACATCTCATCTTGCACTGGTAACCCAAAATTAGGGTTTGAGATTGCACAAAGATTTTTGGACTATCAATGCTTCATATGAATTTCAAACATCATTATGGACCCCTAAGATTACTCATGACAAGTTTCAAGCCTTGAACCACATTTTTGATCAGTCAATTGGACAGTTGACCTAAAAATCAGCTGTATTGGGGAAAAAGTCAACCATGGCCAATTTACAGTCAAACTTCTTAATTTTTGATCCACATCAACAATTTTAACTTATATGTATCATTTGATCAAGTTTGGACCACAATTCCTCAAGAAATTTGATCAAATCACCAAAAGGGCAAAATGGTCAAAATTAGGGTTTTGATTGAGGAAGGGCAATTTCTGATTTTTTTTAACCTAGAAAATGACCAATTGAGTTAAGGCATGATTTCAAGGATTAAATTACATCATCTTGACCTTATTACATAGCTCAAAAACATTTCAATTTCATTGGATTGACAGATGAAATTTGTAGTCAACTGATCAAAAGTCAATTGTATACTGAAAAGTCAAACTTGGCTTTTTGGTCAAAATCAAGTGTCAAGGGTCATAATTCATTAAAACATGTCAAAATGTGAAACTTTTTCATCAAGAAATCCAAGTTTGAAGATTAGGGTTTGAATTTGAAATTTTTCTTAACTTAGAAAATTTTCTAAGTATAGAAAATTTCTTATTTTTTCTCAACTTTAGGCCACTTTTCCACCATGATGCATAATGATTCAAAGAAAGTTCCCAATATGAAAGTTGTAGACCTCCATGAAATCTACAACTTTTCTACACACACTTTTCCCTAAAGATGCTTGGATCTCAAGATATATATTTATGAATATATGGTCATGAACTAAGTAACTTAGTGAAATTTTGCCCAAATTTAGGCAGGTTTTGGACCCAACTTCATGGCAATTTTTCACCTAGTTCCAAGAGGTATCTCAAAATTCATTTCAAATATGATTTATAGATCATATTTCAAGATTTCAAAAATGTCCAAGAACTCCTCAAGATCATTTTTGAGTAGGGAGAATCGAAGAGATGAAGTTGGCAATTTCTCACTTTTTGCCCAAGCCATTTCATGAAGAACAAAGTTGCAATCAGTACCTATGCTGCCTAATCCATGCTTTACAGGTTCCAAACTTGTTCCACACTCATTAATTAAATGCTTACTCAGTTGACAAAGATTTGATCGATGCCTTAGAACCATTATCCAACTTGCAATTCCATTTATGGCAAAAAGTGACCATTGCCATTTTGAAAAAGATCAATTTTTGTAAACTTTACAATCTTGAGCATTGGACCTGTCCCCTTGGCACATACAAGTACCACATACCTAAGGAAACTTGTAGAGAAGAGATACCAACCCTAAGCAATCTAGTACAAGTATGTAAAGCTTTGTCATATCACTTTACTTCAAATACAAGAAAAGTGGCAAAAAGGATAGAACAGGCACAACTGTTAGAGGGTTGACATCAAACCAATTCCATACTAATATACAAAGATAATACAACTTAGCACACGAGGAAAAAAGGCCTGAAACACTCCCAACCATAAAAACACCAAAAATCTGTCCAAACCTGCAGTTTTGGCATAAGCATACCCATTTTCCATTTGGCTCGTGCGTTTCAAGTTTTGATCATTCAAACATCTTACATACTTGATATCAAACCAATCCAAACCTTCATCCCTGTTCTGTAATCACTTTTCCACCATCTGCCATTGTTGATTTCAGAGCTTACAGTTTGACTTGGCCAAGGAGTTTCAGATACTTTCAGAGCAAGGCAAAGGTTGGAATACATTCAGGGAAGTTCAAGGAAGCTCAAGCAAGCATCAGGCCTCCATCAAACTCACTCCAGTTCCATCCACGATTCCAACTGAAGGAGGTAAAATCTCAAACTCTATATCCTTGTACAGGCAACCATAGGCCACGATTTGTGAATAAAAAGTGTAGTCCTCATCATAACGAAACTATACATATCTTTATCTTGCATTGATTTTACTTGAGTTGAGAGAATTTAGAACTTGAAATTTCTGAAAATATTAGGTTAAAATTTAGGGCTGTTAAAATTCTCTTTGACCTTTGATTGTTAGTTCACATAACTTATATGGTTGCAATCGTGATTTCAAACACTACAATTTTCATGTTATGAGTTTTCATTTTCATGGAAGTATGAGAGAGTTATAGGATGTATGGCCAAGTTTGAGGAAGAAGATGAAGTACAGGGCAAGGATTTGTTTTATGTTATCTTATTTTCGTTTCCCTTAAAACATTGGATGTATAGCCACCCCAGTGGCAAAGTAGCGTGCCGGTGAGACCCATGTCCTGGGTTCGAACCTGGGCGCGCTACTTTTGTTTTTACATTTTGCCATTTTTTCAGTTTTGACATTTTTTTGTAGGTTTGGGCCTTCATAGTTGGGCCTTGGACTTTTTTGCTTGCATGATATCTCTAATCTGCTACATCACCCCCTTTGCCAACTTTTTATATTTTATTTTATTTGCTTTATTTTTATTTTTAATACATATTAAATATTTCTTTGATACATAAAAATCCTAAAAAATGTAAATTTCATAATATTACATTTTATTTTATTTTTCACATAGAAATATATTTTATTCTTAATATATATCATATATTTTCTTAATAACTTGTAAAATATAATCAAAGTATATTTAGTTTTATTTATTTATTTATTTTTTCATTTCATACTTATAAATATTTATTTTTGCATATATAAATTTTTTTATATTTTCATACAATAATATTTATTGTTTTAATACATACTTAAAATAATACATATAAGAACTTCATTTTCTTTATAAAAAAATAGATATTACGGTTAAGACCCCTTCTAAAAATTAATTTTCTTTTCCTTACATTTTTAGACTTAGATTTAAATTTTCTTTTACATAAAAACAAAATAAAAAAATATTTTCTTACATGTACATTGTATTGCATCTTTAAATATTGTATTGTATTTATTCTAATTCGTACAAATTCGATTTGGTTGTAATAATTTATTTAGGTTTATATTTTTGCAAATCCCCATTCAAATTTGTATTCCCCCCTCCCATAAATTATTGTAATAGCTTAGAAATATTTACATTATGCAATTTATCGCTTTACATGCCATGATTAGTAATTAGGGTTTGTATGATAAGATCGAAGCAAAGCAAAATAGAAAACTCTAAATACAAGACAAAATCAAAGCATGAAAATGGTACATTTGCACACAAGCATCCTTAGGGTTTCTCCACTTGGTTTCCTAAAACAAAAATGGCCATGTTACACATGCGAAGTATCTTGGTAAAATAAACAAATATAAGATCATCGTCCCTCGATGACGCTATTCAAAAAGTTGCCTTACAAAATGATCTTAGTCCCTCAAAATGCTAAGGTACTTTGCAAACATTGATAATCATGGTTGTACGATGACCTATGCCCGTCCCGTTTACATCCAAAGATAGGGTTGCTTACCAAATCAATGGTAAGACAACAATGTCAAAGGAATAGAGAATGCACAAGAAAGACATTTGACTAGGTAGATTGCTACTAGTTACTTGCTCTAATTTCAAACAAACATCCTTGCTATTTTCAAAACAAACACACACATTTCCAAACATTTTACAAACATTGAAAACATTTTGAAAAAGACAAACATATTTGTATACATTCTTACGAACGAGAATCATTACAAATATTTCCTAAACGAATGGCCTGTTTTACAAAATACCTTCAAAATCACACCAAACACATTTTCAAACAAACAAAAGCAAGTGATCTAGCAAGTAACTAAGATCCCATGGAAAACCATGGATAAAAAGGGTGCTAATACCTTCCCTTTTCATAATCTATCCCCCGAACTCAAGAAAACATCTCAAAGGTCTTTCCTGTGCTTTTTCACCTTTCCTTTTGGATAAAAGAAAAGTCGGTGGCGACTCCTGCTTACCGCAACATTTGCGATAAAACGCAAAACCCTCAAGTCAGTTCTCCCACCGTATCACACACCTCATATAGTATTATGGCATGGATATTTCGGTCTTCTATTCAGCACAGATCTTCTTAAAGATCCTCCAGACAAGGGCATTCTGCATTTGTACTCGCAAAGTTGTTCAAGCCAATTATGTTACACAAGACGACTAAAATCAAGCTAAAAGCAGTATAAATAAATTGATAATTAATTATTTAAATTAGGTTTTTATAATTAATTATTAATTAATAATTTTTTGAAAAATTATTGATTGAAGTTCAATACACTTAGAGTTCTTTTCAACCCACACGTAAACCAATAAAAAATGTTTACCCATGAGTCGAAAAAGAAGTCTGCGCTTATACCCAAAAAATTCTTTTAAAAATATTTATTAACTAATAATTAATTTTGAAAATATTTTGATTAAAATAATTAATTATTAATTTATTTATAAAAAATAAATAAATCTAGTCATTAATATCATATTATAAGAAAAATATAGATTTTAAAATTGACCAAATAAATCGGCTGAGTCAAAAGCCATAAGGAGGACCGGTTAAGGCATTAGAATGGAAATTTAAACTGAAAGACATAAACCCTAATTCTTGACGGATAGAAATCCTACTGCTCCAGGTTTTCCATCCAAATCATAAATCATCACGATCAACAACAACCTTGTAGATTCAACCGCCACTTCTCAGGTAGCTCATCAATTTTCTTTTCTATGTTTTATTTGGAATATGAAATTTTACTATTATATTTACTACATGCTCTATTATCATTCTCAAATTAATAAAATCACATATACTTTGTTTGATTGGTTATGCTTATGCTGTTAATTCAAACTCTAAAGTTTGTTCATTATTGTTTGCATTGCAGCAACAATGAACGGAGTTAAAAAACTCAAGAGTGAGTCAACTGAGTTGCCTGATTGTGTTATATCGCATATCTTTTCCATGTTAAGTTTGAAGAATTTGGTGAAAACTAGTGCTTTGTCCAAACAATGGTATCGCGAATGGGGATTTAGGAAAGATCTCAACTTTGATCTCCAGAACTTGTTTGACTTTAATACAATTCCAGACTTACCAATAACCCTTCCACTCTTTCAACGCTTTCAATGTCAATTTGCCACAAGATTCGATTACTTCATGCAGAAATATCCTGGTGTCATCATCCGTTCTATCCGAGTCAATTTTCCATTAGGTGCCGATCATTCTTATGCCATTGATAGATTGATTCGCAAAGGACTTCTTAAGGGTGCTAATCGTATTGAGCTCCTCTTCGCAAATGAAACTCATTTTCAAATAAACCAATTCAGATTTGTATTTCCTTTCTTGTTTGGCTCCAATTCTCTCACATATCTACACCTACAGAACTGCTGTATAGAAGCAACTATGGACTTTTCTGGGTTGAAGAATTTGAGAACTCTTGTGTTGCATCAAGTTCCTGTGAAGCAGAATGTGCTTCAAGATCTGTGTCTTAACTGCATCCATCTTGAGAACTTCACTCTTAATGAATGTACCTTCATATCCGACTTAAGAATAACTAGTTCAATGTTGCTTCATTTGAACATTAACTGCGGACGTATAATTACAAACAGGAATATTGATATCATTGCACCAAAACTCTTATCCATTGAATATTCTTCGGACTGTTTCTATCACCTACGCATAGTGAACATTAAGGCTCATATGTTATCCAAGTTTAGCTATAGATCTATTAACATTTTTAATATTGTCGATTTTTCTGGACTGAAAAATGTGACAACAATTGTGTTTGATGGAATCCGTGAATGTCTCCAATGTCATGTCATATCTCATTTGTTTTCTAAATGTCTCCAACTTGAAGATGTCACCTTTAAGGAGTGCAACATCAAGTGTGATATGAAAATTATCGGTGCAAAGTTGTGTCGTTTGAGAATAATTGATTGTCCCTATAAGAATCATTGTTCTTATAAGATAGATATCGATGCTTTGAACCTCTCATCCTTTGAATATATGGGTCACACTTTCATGAGGCCTATAATCTCTCTCAAGGCTCCAAAGTTATCGAAGGTTTTTTGGGATGTAGGTCCAAGAATGGAAGATATATATAACTTTGATACAATTGCAAGATTACATCTACTTCAGGATTTAACTATGAATATGGGCCGTCCTCAGGTGAGTCACTCGAAACCTATACATGCTACTTGATATTTATATTTTTCAGTCTTAGCTATCCTTTAATTAGTTGACTCAATAATTGCTTTTAATTCACTTTCTGTTTCTGGTGTAAACAGATATCCGAGTTAAGGAAGGATTTGGTTCGACTTCAACATCTTACACAATTGAAATTGTTTATTGTGGGAGCATATAAGCCTGATATGGACTACTTTTGGATTTTAGATATTGCAATGGCTTCTCCGCATCTCAAAACACTTTCTCTAACTGTGAGTTATTCAACCCGTCTGTCCATTTTTTTAACATATTAATAGTTTACCTTTTTTTTATGGATAATAATATATTATTAAGGTAATGCCAACTTGTGCTCTAGTTAAAATAATCCATAAGGGTCTGTTTGCAAGTTTGGAGGACTTTGAAAAAAGAGAAGGATTGAGTGAAAAAAATTGAAGGATTTTGGTTGGGAGGGTTTTTGAGGGTTAGCTTTTATTCATAACACCAAAAACCATCTAATTTGGGGGAACTCAACATTTGTATTGAAGGGAGGGTTTTGGAGGACTTACTTAAATTTTCCAAATATCTTTTATATTGTTATACTATTCTGAAAATTAAAAATATAGTAATGATAAACATTCTTTTGTCATTCTATACAAAATTATTTTTTCAAAAAATGTCAAATATTTTCCTATATTTTTAAAAAAATTCGTTTTCGGAAGCCTTCCCCTCCCCTCCAAATAATAAATAAGTCCTGCATTTGTTTTATATGCCAGATGGAAATTTAAAATGTACGTAAATAATGTATTTTAATATTATGATTATTATTCAATTTTCAGATTCAAAATGAACATACAGAAATCTCTCATATGGTTGAGTCTCAAAGGCAAAGAAGAGAGTATGTGAGGTTTATTCACAATGGTTTAAAATATGTGGAGTTACATGGCTGTGTTTGCTCCATAGATGTAATTGAGTTAGCTAGTCATCTATTGAGGAGTGCAACTTTGCTTAAACAAATTACTTTGAGTTCTTGTCACAATTACTATATAGGCGCTGGAAGATGGAATATGGATTCCCATGGTTGTTGTTGGTTTGAACGGAATGTTATTCATGAGCATCTAAAAGATGAAGTAAATGAACATTGTCAGCTCATAATTTTGCAGAGTCGTGTTATTTATTTATATTGAATTATCTTCTCTATTCCTGTTACTACTTAATTCATTCCTACCAACATTGTATGATTTACATTGTTATGAATTACAATATTAATTATCCTTTTATATTTTATATGATGAAACCAAACAAGTATAACAAAATTCTATAACAGCAACATTAACAAGTTTAAAACTTTTGGCAATTACCACTATAAAACACAATGTATATAAACTGCCTTCAAAACATCTATAGCAGAAGCTAAAGTGAACAAATTAATGACCGTGAATTACTACCCTGCTATGGCCATTAATTACCAATCTTCTATGTAAGAGGAGATCTCTTCTACCACTAAAACAACTTATAAGGTTAGAATTGTTTAAGCTTAACAAACTCGGTTTAAACATTAGATTATGTCTCAAACCCAACATTATCATTCAAATAATTATTCAGATGGCTTATGAAGGTTTGTGATATGTAATTTCCTAATCAAGCTCAAAAATACCATGAATTTTGTCAGTTTGCTAGTGTAACTTACTTAATTTGCTAGTGTAACTTACTTAATCACGGGTTTTTGATCGGATGGTCAAGGTTTAACCACCTCACATTCATATAAAATAAGCTCTGTAATTTGGGAGGATCCATAGACAATCAATGAATAAAATTAAAACACACAAATATAGGTTAAAAGAAAGAAACAATGATTAAAAGGCATAAGGGCTGCATAATTCAACAAAAACAAAGGAAAATATCAACTAACCAACTAAACAAGTAGTCACAGAGACACACTAATCCGACCACAATAAATTTCTACCTAAATTATAATTAGTTAAAAACCACTTCCAAGCCAAAAACTTGAACATACTCGAACCATCCAACTTACAAATATACCTGTTTACCTTGGGTTTTGGTAAACAACCGCTGATCCTCCAAATGGTTACTTATTTGGTTACTCGCAGGATCGATCAGATTGATCCTATGGACATAGGTTGATTTTGAAGTTTGATTAAGTTGGATAAGGCTTTAAGTAAATTGTTTAAAGTAAATTGCATAAAGGAAAGGCTTGGTAAAATAAACAAGGCTTTAAAGTAAAGGTTCGACAGGAATTTAAAGGAGAAAAGCAAGTAAAATGCTGGAAAAGTAAATGACTTTAATTGATAAAATTGGTGTTTCACACATACATTTCTCAACAATTCTTTCGCTCACACTGGGTACTTGAATCTAAATGAGTGACTATGTATTTTTTGTGAACACACGCGAGAAACTACATGTCTACTCCTATTTATACAAAAACATTCCAAGTAACCGTCGGGCAGTTACACTGCTTCGAGATCAAGCCACTTGTCACGTTCTCCATGCTCGACGCTCCAGATCCTTGCACGTTTGCACGTAGTAACTGCTGGAAACCGTTTTCCCTCCAAAGCTTTGAATTTCAAACTGCTCCACTCTGGACCATCGAACACGTTCGTCAAGAGACATCTTCGACGAAAACTCCTTCGACGTCGAAGGCAATCAGCCTTCTTCCTTGGAAGAAATCTTCTAAGTATTTTGCCATCTTTCGACGGGCACTTCGACAGGCTTAGCCAGTCGAAAGCATCTTTCAGCTTTTAATGGCTGCCATCAATCAAAACAAAGGTGTCGAATTTAGGAGCCAACAAATTGCCCCCCAAGAATGCCTTATTTCGACTCTGAAAGAAAAAGGCATTCTTTGAAAACGCCATTCGACACCTGTTTTTCCACGCTTAGTCACAAGTTAACTTGTGCACTTTTTGTTGCTTTTTACCAACTATTGGCAATCCCAAGAAACCATCATTGATTTGATCCTAGGACGTCACTTTCAGTACGGCGTGCAGTACCAAACATCACTTCATAATTTGCCATTATGACAAATCCCAAAACCGAGGACGCACGCTGCGTCTCTCTGTTTCTGCAGAAACGGCCAAAACAACAGGATGCTGCCACGCGTCCCACTAATTCCTGCAGCATTAAATGACATTTAATGTCCTCGTTATTGGGAATTTCTCCCACTACTATAAATAGTAGTGAATATCCCATTGTGGGACTTTTCACGCAAACTAGCCCTCAAACTCCCTTGCTTTCAGACAAACTTGTTCTCTTTGCAGAAAAACTCTTCCTTTTTCAACTTCATCTTCATCCTCAACAATGGCCTCTGCTTCTACTGCCCCCAAGACTAACGCACCAACTGAACAACTTGCTAAGCCCAAGGTCTTTGTTACTGCTCCGGTAGTGAACTCTACAGGGAAACGAAGGGTTCCTGAACCTTCTGACATCTCCGTTCGCGATGCTTACTCGCGTCACTTGATGATCCCGGTTGGATACTCCAACCAGATCTTCGCAATGTCTGGCCCCATGAACCCAAGCATCTCTGAAGCTCTGAAGATCAAGAGCTATTTTCCCATCGTCGAGAAACTCAAGCCAATAGCATGCGCTAAGAAGGACGCAGAAGACAACGAAGACCCTACACGCGAGAAAATCGACCTCCGTTTCTTCAACAGAAGTGTTAGGGTCTTCAGGTCTTGCCCTAATCTGACCTCTGACTATATTGCTTGGCTAACAAAGTTGGAGAAACATCAAACTCCAGTCTGGAAGGAAATGGGAATCTTTGACCTAGTAATGCTGTCGAAGACAGGCTTAAACTACTCCCCAGAGATGCTTATAGCTTCGCTGTTGTTTTGGGATTACTCTCACTTCACCTTTCACCTTCCATGTGGGATGTTAACCCCCACACTCTTCGACGTAGCGGCCATCACTGGCCTTCGACCAACCGGAGATTACTTCGACCCGGAGGAGATGTCGGAGGACCAAATTGGCTTCTCTGAGACGAAGCCAACATACACTACCTTTATCAACCATTATCACGACAAGTCGACGGATACAGTGTCGGATGTCGAACACATAGCGTTTCTAGCCTTATGGCTAACTCGCTTTGTGTTTTGTTCGAAGTCTCTACAAGTGACCAAAAAGATGGTCACTCTTGCCACCCAACTGCATCACCGCCAAAACATCTGTTTGGCAGAACTAATTCTGGCCAGTCTTTATGACTCAATCAGCAATGGGGTTACTCTCTTGAAACATATCGAAGATAGGGGCAGTTTGCTACTCGCTGGGCCTTTCTGGCTACTTCAACTGTGGCTCAACGCCACTTTCGAATCCTTCTTACCCAAGAAGAATCAGATAAATGAACAAGCCCCAGCGATAGCTAATAGACGTATCGAAGGAATTAGGCTGGCTCTACTGACACCTGTGGAAGATGGGCTGGAGTTTCAACAAACCTTCACTAACTTCGTTCTGATGTTCGCTCGAAGGAAGGAATTTGTTTCAACTATGGCTCCATTTGCTCAACGAAAGGTGGGGCCAGCATGGTTCACAAGGCCACATCCCAAGGAGTCGAGTGGTCCCAATGTCGATGAGCACACTGTACTTTGGGAGGCGTTCCTGACACCCAGGATCATGCCTCTTCGATTTAAGAGTTCTAAGACTCATTTGAGTCTGCTTGCCTATCAACCCAATCTGGTATCTCGCCAGTTTGGTATCATCCAAACCCTGCCTTCTCCCATTTTTCAAAGAGAGAAGTCAATGTTGTACTTCTGCAACGATTATACAGAAGAAGCTGCTACCAAGCATATCGGAAGATATGCTGGTCGAACAATCCTCTCGCTGTTTAACTACCAGCTTAACTTCCTTTGCTCACCATCCTTTGAGGAGTGGTGGAGAAGCTATTATGCTGAGTACTTCTTCGACGAGAAGGACTTCATAGCAGAGTTGCAGAAGTCTTTTGTCCTTGTGTTGGACAAAGTAAAGAAATGTAAGTTCATGCTCTCACATTTACTTTTTATCTTTCTCTTCGACTGTTAGCCTGTTAACTTTCCTTTTTCGCTTTCAGTTGTTCGAAAACCCCTAGCCAAGAAGGCTACAGAAGGTCCACAAGGAAGAGTCCTTTCGACAAAACCTCCACCGCCGGCGAAGACTATAGCGCCGGCGAAGACAACGGGCAACCAACAGGGGGAAGGCTCTTCGAGGAGGCCTCCTGCATCGGTAACCAGATTTTCTTCATTTTTCTTCTGGCTTTCGATTTTTTATTTTCGACGTAATTATTCAATCGAATTCCTATTGGTTTTCTAGGCCCCTTCGCCCAAGAAAAGGGCAGCATTGGTGGTCGAATCGGGGAGTGATGACGACAGTGATTCCCCTCCTACTCCCTTAAAGAGGCGAAAGTTAACGAAGGACGCTTCTGTTCCTGCTCCTGCTCCTGAAGGTCGAACCGTCAGAATAAAGGTCGCTGTGAGAAAGCCTAGGCCACCTGCAGTGGTCATCGAGGAGCCAACTGAGGAGGAACTGAACGCTCTTGTTACCAAGCCTGTCGAAAGTGATAATTCCAGCCCTGGGGCTGAAGTTAATCCACAGGTAATCTATTGGACCCTTCTTATAACTTAGGCATAGACACCAGTATTTGATTTTGTCTCTTTCGACATCTGAAGATTTGTCTTCTTTCTCTTTTTCAGGACACTACTGAAAGTTCCCCACCAAGGACTTCAGAAACCCTAGAATCTGCTGACCTTAGCAGGCCTCGGGAAAAAGATTTGGGCAATGACGAAGCCCACACTGAGAATGAGGCCAATGCTGAAACAGTGGAGAAGACAACAGAAGAACCTATGGTGGAGGCAACACAGCCAGAAACGGTTCCTGTGGTGGACTTGTCGTCAGAAGAGAATCCTGAAGGAAGAGACCAAGGCAATGGCGAAGAGAATCAAGATGCTGTTGACGAAGAGCACCAAGGTGGTACTGGCGAAGAACACCAGGGTGACGCTAGCGAAGAGCCACAAAATGACGCTGGCGAAGGACCCCAAGGTGATGTTAACGAAGAACCACAAGTCGACGCTAGTACCGCCTCAGTCCAAGTCGAAAAGCAACCAAACGAGGCACTCAGCATTCAAGAGCCTCAAGCCCAAGATAATACTGTGGCAAGGGTCACCTCCTCAAAGCACAGGTCAAAAGAGGACTTGGAAATCTTGAA